AGCACATTTCCATGCTAGATGTTATAAAAGTTCTGCATATTTCTAATAAAAATGTGCTCTGACCGCTTAAAGCAAGAACCTCCAGAAGATAGACTAGAGGGGTCACCCAGGCAATAAAACGCAAGAATTCAGGAAAGCCAAGGTCTTTAAGAATATTTAGAAGTTTGTGTCTTAACAGTGATTGTCTTTCCAATTGTCTTCATCTATGACTTGATTTGAATAGGCAACTAATTTTTGGTAACCAGTTTCTAATGTTACCAGCCAACCCAGAGACTTCATAGAGACACGAAATACTCAATATAGAGAAGAATTGAGAAATCTCAGTAACAGAGTTTTATGCATGGATGTGAAATGAAGCAAGTATGTGCATTTATTTCAGAGTATACACAAATTCTCTGAGCCCTCCCTGTGTGTGTGCATATGCCTATGCACTAGGCTAAAGGATGGAAGGGAAATTCAGTGATGGCCGACAAGTAACCCTTGACTCTGCAATTGTGTATGTGGTGGGAGATGAAATCTGTTGTCCACTGGGTAAAGACCAAGTCAGTTCCCAATTAAGTATCTCCAGTGGCATTCCATTCAAACATCTTTCTAAGGTATGAAGGCCCCACAAGACCTGCCTCCCTTCTATATCGCTAGCTCCATCCCACCCTACATCTTATGCACACTTCTAGTGCTACAAGTTATCCAACCTCTTTTCCCACAATGACCTTTTGTTGCCCAAACATTCTAAATTCTTTCATATCTCTGGACCTTTGCAGTTGTTGTTTCCTCTGCCCGGGAAAACAATTCCTTTTGCTCTTCACTTACTGGCTCCTTCCTCGAGCACCTTGTCAGAGAGGCTGACTGTTTGATGCTCCTCTGTCTTCTCTCCATCACACTTGCACAGTGGATTATCTTTACAACACTCATCGTATCTGAAATATGCTTTTCATTTATTTGATTTCCCAGAAAGGTCTATAAAAACACAGGGGTTTTCTGTCTTGTTCAATACTACACACCACTCTCCAATCCCTCAAGAACACCTCTTGTATAGTAGATACTGAGTAAATATTTATTGTCCCTGAAGAAAATCCCACCTTATAGATGGGGATACAAATCACCCAAAATTTACTGAAAGTACTTTTTCTCTGCTCTTGCTGTCTCAACCTGTAGCCCAGCCCCCCACAGCCCTACCAACTCCAGGCCCACTTCCACAACCTGGAAGGTGAGAGTGGCCCTAAAGCTTTAGAGAAGTCCTTAGCTTCCCTGCATCTCATCTGGAGGCCACCTTATTCTCATCATCGAAAAATCCTTCCATTCTCAATTAGATAAAAAGCATATAAATTAAAGATCCTTCTAAGTGTTTATATACTACTGAATAAAATTATGCCACCTGCACACTTTGTCTTAGGGCACAAATATGAAAGGAAGAAGAATGGGAGAGAAGAAAGCCTTTTACTTCATTTTTGAAAGCATTTATGATAAGGAAATATTCTAAGAGCTGGCTGCCTTCCTTCCCCTCTTTCCCAAGTGTCAATGAGAGGAGCCTCCTGGTATCAGATCAGAAAGTGTGCCAAGCTGAGATAGCCCAGATTCCCACTTGGGTGGCCAACAAACGAAATGAGGACATGGGAGAAAAAAACAGATCTCACTACTCCTTCTGCTCTTACCTCACAGCGTCTCCCAGAGTCTCAGCCTTTCTGAGCCTGAGTGGACAGCAATCAGCTTCTTGATCAAATCTGAGGGCACTTCAGTTGATTCCACATGCAGGTGTCACCATCAAGAGTCTACTACCCACAAATTGTGAGGGAACTATGTTTCTGACATTTTGATAGGGAACCATAAATACTGAAAGTATAAAATTACCAATGTACAATTTTGTCCCCCACACTAAACTTGTTCCACATTGATTACAACTTTCAGGAGTCGGTTCTCTCCTTCTACCATGTAGGTTCCAGGGACCAAACTCAAATCATCAGGCTTGGTGGCAAGCATCTTTATTCACTGAGCCATCTCTCTAGCCCAAAATACATTTTTAAATGATGAGTTGACTTAGAACTATGAGGTATTGTATTATCCATTGTAGTTGGCACAGAAAAAAGAAAGGGGTTGATTTCAACATGGAAGATGAGAATGTGATTCTGAAAAGACTACTGCCTGGCAAGATACTGCTGGCCTTCAAAGGTAAGTAGGAGCTTATAGTAAAACCATATTCAGGAAGCAAAGAACTTGTGAATATAGACAGCCAACTTCCTAGACTGGCCAGATACTGTACACCTTAGAGTACATTAAAGATCAGCAGACAATAAAAGCAAAGTGAAAGTCTGAGGATGTCAACTGGAAAGGGCAGCAAAGTAACCTTCTCTCCAAGAAGCTTCCCTGAAGGGGTTATTAGGAAGATAAAACCAGCTCAAGCTGGCTGTAAATGGTGCTCACACACACAAAGAGGAAAATATGCACAAGGAATGGAAGAATTTTCAAAGAATACTTATTATGTTATTTGAAGGCTTCCTGGGTGGTATAAAACTTGGGTAGAGATGGACTTTCATGAGATTCATTATAACCTAAGACAGTCTTCATTTTTTTAGCTTTAAAATGGGACTAAAATTTTGTTCTCAGAGCACTGATTGGAAAGTTGAATGAAATGGCATGTAAGAACACAGCAGGGACCACAGAGGAGGCTCCATATCCACCCCATGCTTTCCTCACCTCGTAACTACACATTATCTACATCCATGTTAAACACATGCCCCCAACCTGGACAGAATCATAATTTCCATAGAAGCCATCTGGAAGTCTGTGGTGAGCTAATGACAGTTATCACGGAAATGTAGGAGGCATAGGCATTATTCATTTCTGCTCCACAATGTGGAAAGGAACACAGATATATCCTCAGTAGAAGAAAAGAGCCATGGAAATTGGTCCTCTGCCACTGAGTTCTGAAATTGGAAACCTGAGAATTACAATTTCACAACAGACATCCATTTTTAACGGGTTGCCTCTTAATGGCACTTTTCTGTTAGTATTGTCTACTTTTGAGTCTCAAGACTTTTTTTATTGATTTGGGACAGAACAAATTGATACCTTCCATAAGTCTGCTGAAATGTTACTCAATTACAGTCTTATTTAATTGTACCACTAAATCAAGACATGGTAAAATCTGAAACTGACATTCAGGGACTGCATACAAATACTTTTCAAGTTAGAAGCTAGGAATTATCACTCCTCCCATTCCATATTAGCCTGGAGACAGCTTGGAAAGCAGATCAGGTTAATAAAAACACTTTCTACAAAAATTCTATTTTCTTAATCCAAAATTGCTACTATTTAAAGTGTCTTGGAAGCAGACAGCCTTATTCAAAGGCAAAACTAACAATCTAAGGGTTTTTTTTTTTTGTGGTTTTGGTTTTTTTTGTTTTGTTTTTTAGATCTTGTTTTGAAAAGCAGTCCTTGCTAAATTGGAAGGCAGCAACTCAAGCCAATTAAACGTCAGGTCAGCAGGGTTTCTGATGGAAAATAACTGGGCGCCTCAGTCACATCTTCCCAAATATTTAACATCTCCGTGTAAATAAAAATGCAGTTCCATGTTGTAAAGCTGGGAGGGGAAGTTTGAAGACAAGAAAGTCAGTTAGGCTAGCTTAACAGAGGCGGCCATGGGGAGCTGAGGAAGTGTGGGCCTGAAGGTCAGTGTGGAAGGGGACAACAGATGGGGGATATCCTAATCCACCTATCTAACCAAAGTTCTAAGGTGATCCTCTTAGAAACAAATAAGACTTGAGAGTTTGGAATCTGTGTGGTTGTTGATAGGCTAGTACCTACTACGTAGTTTCCATACCCACCCCCACACATATTTTAAACGTTACCACCTAAGAAAATGCCTCACTCCAGCCTGTCCTCCTCTACCCACCTCCCTATCCCTCCGAAGATCCTAGCTTCACATTTCTTTAGTTTCTGGAAATCGCTTTTCATAGATTTTCTTTTCAGCCAAAATAACAGTATACAAAAGAGAAGCTGAAGTGAGTTCCTGGGCGCTCCCGAGCCAACCACCGCAAAATGACAAGTTTTTTTTCTCCCGTATCTTAAAACTTCACAACAGCCCGAACACTGCAATTTTCTCACTGCCCCCTCCCTTTTACCCCAAACTGCGTGGCTTATTTTGTTGAGTTTAGTTTTATTGTGGCGGGAAGAAGAACTTCTCGGAAACGTCCCTATGGTAAAAGACCAGAACCCTTTGGACTCGCCCCTCCTGGCGCACAGACAGACCCTTTCCCTAGAAAACAATGGTGAGCTAGGAACCCGGCACCGGGTCGGCTTCCCAGCTCACAGCCCCGCCCGCAAGGAAGAAAAAGAGGGTCCCCGCGCCCCGGGGCGCCGTGGGGCGATGCTCGCCGGGTCCTCCCCAGCAGCTCCGGGACTCTGTGGGAGACCTTCCGGCCCGCCTCTCCGCACACCCGGCGGCCCGGGACCCCGCGGCTCGGTGACGCCGGGGCCAGCGGGACTGGCAGGGTGTGGGCGGGGGACCGAGCGCTCCGGGTCCCCTTCCCCGGGGCTCTGCAGCCTCAGTCCCGCCGCTCAGCCCCCAGACCTCCCGAGCGGGGCCCGGACGCAGTCTCCCCGCAGCGCAGCAGCCGCAGTCACCGGCCGAGGCCCCGGCGCCGCAGTGTGTGCGGGGCTTTACGGCCCTGCCCGCTGCTCTCCGCAGCCCTCTGCTGCTGCGGTCTTTCCCCGGCGCCGGGCACAGCGGATAGCCGGGACTGCGGCTGCAGGAAGCCGGAGCGAGGTGGTGGCGGGGAGCGGAGCCCTGCGCATCGCCCCTGGGAGTTCGAGTCGCCCGCCGGCTCGCGCGCCGACCCGGCTCGGCTCCGGGTCCCGCTGCCAGACGCTCCCCCGACTCGGCTGCAGTCAGTGGCATGGTGACTCCCCCCACCCTGCCCCCCGAGTGCGCGGGGAAAGTGCGGTGCCGAGACCCGCGCGAGCTCCGCAACCCCAGGGCAGCGGCAGCGCAACGAGGCCCCTACCTCTCGGGCGGGGCGGACGGCAGCTCGCCCTAGCCGGGCGTCCGGGACAGGAAAATCACTGCGCTGGGAGGGCCCGGGAAGGGCGGCGGGTGGATTCAGGACAAGGTAGGAGGATTGATTTCCAGAGCCAAGAAGACACTCCCATCCCGCCCTGGTCTGCTTGAAAAGCTGCGGGAGCAAAAGCGAGAGACTTTCAGAGGTGCTTCCTTCGTTGGGCAGAAATCAACCCCGAGGCTGGGCTGTGGGAACAGACTCTGCGGGGCAGTTTGATTCCTAGCAAAAGGGGAGGGTGCTCAGAGATACACAATTTCCAGGCTCTGCTCTTCAAGGACAAATGTGTCAGGGTTACAGGGAGTAGCCTTGGACTTCAGTACATCATCATCATCATCATTATTATTATTATTATTATTATTATATATTTTGCTCTTTGTCAATGAGCCAAGAGGTCATTGATTGGTTAAAATGACTGGCCAGTGAGCCCTGGAGTCTCCTCCTTCCAGCGCTGGGATTAAGGCACCCAGTTACACATGGCTTTTTTACATGAGTACTGGGGGATGGAATTCAGATGCTAATGCTTGCATGTTAAGCATCTTACCCCATGAGCGATCTACTCAGTCTAACACCCTAATCTCTATTAAATCAGGGCAATAAAGTTGCGTTACAGGGAGTACTCTTGGACTTCAGTACATCATCATCATTATTATTATTATTATTATTATTATTATTATTATTATTATATATTTTGCTCTTTTTGAAACAGGGTCTCCCCAGCTGGCTTGGAACTCACTATGTAGACCAGGCTGGCCTTGAACTCACAGAGCTCCGCCTGCCTCTGCCCTGCAAGTGCTGGGACTATAGGCATGCGCCACCACACCCGGCCTTTCGGTACTTTTTATGTCTTTTAAAGGAGCTGTTATTTCTGTAAGATGGATCTCTCTCCTTCCCTAAATTATCTGAATGTTTTAAAAATTAGAGTGTTTGTTAAATAGTTTAGCATTCAACTCACAGCTCTATTCCCTGAGCCCTGATCAAAATAGTCACTAGCCTTTAATTCCAGGACAGCTGGGGCTACAGGGAGACCCTGTCTCAAAAAGACCAAAAAAAAAAAAAAAAAAAAAAGTCACTAGCAATCAACCCCCAGGAGAGAACTTGGAGGGGTGGGGGTGAGTTTAATTTAAAACTGGCAGTGTGGCAGGTCTTGTAACAAAGTCCTTCATCTGTGACAGATCTGCTGGTATGTGGCTTAATTATGCCAACTGCCCTAGGAGTTTGCACTTAGTGTTTTTTGTTTTTTTCATGTCAGTAATCCAAATACCAAAAGGGCTCAGGTCAAGGTCATTCACATTCTCTGCCCTTCCTACAAATGGCCTTTGGCCTAACCCACACAGGTTTTTGTAATTATAAGTATTGTGCTTGGTACACCAGGGTAATAAAAAAAACTCAGGATTTTGTCCACCTGGATGAATTTTCCTGAGATTTACTATATACACTTTCAGTTTCTCCTGAGTTCTTTGTTCTCTTGTCTGTGACCTTCAAAATTAAATCTGGATTTTACTTCATTCTTTTTGGTTTCCTGGGTTTTGCTTGTTTGGTGTGTTGATTGATTTTCTTGGCTTGTTTGTTGTTATGGTAGGTTTTTTTTTTTTTTTTTCCCTGTAGCTCCAATTGTCCTGGAACTCACTAGGTAGACCAGGCTTCTGGTCTCCAACTCTCAGAGATTCACCAGCCTCTGCCTTCCAAGTCCTGGGATTAAGGGCATAAGCCACCACACCTGGCTGGTTGGTTTGTTTTGATAGCATCTCCCCCAGGTAATCCAGGCTGGTTTGGAACTCTAGAGCCTCCTCCTTCAGCACCTGGTTTACTGGGATTACAGGTGGGAAGGGAGGGGCTTTTGTAGCTCCTCCTCCATTTGTTTTGTTTTGTTGTTTCAGTTGGTTGGTTGTTGTTTACTTTGTCTTTTTGTCTTGCTGTGTAGCCCCACCTGGACTCTGACTCTCATGTCAGTCCTCCTGCTGTTAGGTGACCTCAGTGCTTGTTCATATTCTGCAAAACCTTGTGGTGGTAGATGCTCGCCTAACCTAGTGGAATACTGCCTCTCCTGCTACCCTTCACTGTGACCTTACCCTCACTGTGACCTTACCCACATGGCTTTCCCCTCAGTCTGTTTTCTTTTGGTTAGCTGTGAAGTGAAACAATACAATCCCTTTTAGAGCTTGTTGGGAGGGTTAATACACAATGGGCACTGTATCCCCCAATTCCTTATTACAAAATCATCAATTCAGGAAGTAAAATAGAGACCTTTAAAATAAAGAGTACAGTCATCATCCACCATGAGTCAGGTGCCCTTGATCCTGCTGGAAGTGAAGAAATTGGAGCTGTGATCCAAATGCAAGTGCTGTAGACTAAGATACGGTGTTCTTTTCAGGACATGTAACTTTCTATATGGGAACTTTTAAAATCTTTTTATTAATTTTTTGAGAATTTCATACAAAGTACTTTGATCATATTTCCCCCAAACTTTTGATCTATATAACACTCATTCTTAAAAATTGAAGGTTTATTATTGAAGGGTGTATGGTTGCTATTGTGAATATATTTTGAATTCTCATGACAGCTGACAAAGAATGAAGTAGGGGTGGGGTAATAAGTTGGTAGCTTTCTACCCTTCTGATGTTTTAGGGAAAATATTTTCAGGATACAGATATATTTAGCGCATCCTTTTAAAAATATTGTTTCTAATTTTATGCATGTCTGTAAGTGCAATTTTGTCATGCAACGCCTGTAGAAGTCAAAGGACAGCATCAAATTCCCCTGGAACTGGAGTGGACAGTTATTAACTAACATGTGGGTGCTGGGGATGGAACCCAGGTTCTCTACAAGAACAGCCTGTGCTCTTAACCGCCAAGCTATCTCTCCAGCCCCAACTAAGCCTTTTTTGTAGATGCATTCTAATAAGATAGAGGAGATCGGCTAGCCATCCAAGTGCAGAGGACGCTTGGGATATGCTTTGGAATACTTTCAGAGGTGTCTGAAGTCATAATATTTATATATACAGGACTCCCCCTGTTGGTTAGGCTTGTATTTTATGAATGATTTAATCCCACTGAAATAAAATGATACTGTTTCATCAGATGTTGCTTCTGCATATCTAGTGATGAATAGAAGCCAAATTCCCTACATGTCCATCGAGTCTACAAAGCACTGTACATGCACAGTCTAGAAGAAGGCTAGTAGTATTTCCTTCCTGTCCCCCTCCCCCATGTAGGTTGTACCATCCAAGCTGCTCTCTTGGTAAGACAGTTGGCTTCCTGTAGGAGAGACTTATAAGTGAGCACTTTCATTAAGACAACCATATTAGGGTACAGTTGACCAATCCCAGGACTGGAAATACCCAGAAAGCAACAATCTACTTTCTTATAGCATCTACTTATAAGTTAGTAATAGTTTTTTAAAGGTTTACTTTTTAAAAAATTTATTATTTTTATTTTATGTGTTGTGAGTGTATTGCCTGCATGTGTGTTAAGTGCACCCATGTTGTGCAGTACCTTTGGAGGCCTGAAGAAGGCATCAGATCCCCTAGAACTGGAGTTCTGGGTGGTGGTTAGCCACCATGTGGGTGCTAGGAATCGAACCTGGGTCCTCTGCAAGAACAGTCAGTGCTCTTAACCATTGAACCCTCTCCAGCCCCTAAAGGTTTACTTTTTAAACATTTCTCAAAGCTTGAGTTGTTGAGTTTTAAACAGCATCTTGCTCAAAGATGGAGATTGACCAAGCTGATCCTACTGACATACAATCCTTTCTCTGCTTAAAGTGAAGGTCCTGCCATCTCAATCCTCTAGCTATCTTAGGGGTTTTATCTCCTGTGAGCAACTGTCTCAAAAGCAGAGCTTCTCAGAAAGAATAAACTATAATGCCTATGCATCTGATTTACAGCTATGACTACAATGTGGAAAAACTATTACATTAGCAAGGAGCTTAGCTCTTTGTCGGAACACTGTACTTTCCCAAAGTCTCCATCAGCGCAAGTCACGGCTATAGTTTCACAAACATAGCTATCCATTGTGATGATTTTACCAGTTTGGGGATTGTACACACAAAACAGGAATTAAAATCTATAAGGAAGTTGACTTTTGAGTCCTTCTATCCTACCAGTCCTGTTAGGGTTTCAAAAGGTGTGGTAGCTCACTCTCAGGGAACAGATTTACTGGCCTACAAACTGGAAGATGGGCCTAAACACATCTCAAGCACATGAACATGTGAAACGTGATGATGGAAGCCATAATTAAGACAACAGAAAACAATCACTACTTATTTATGAATTGATTCATATCCAGAATATGTAAAGACTTCTAATGGGACCATAAAAAATAAATCATAAAATAATAGACACAGTCTTCATAAGCAAGCAGTTCACAGAATTAATGAAAATAGCTCACAAGCTTGTGCAAATATCTCGGTGTTTTAACTACATTTATTCTTTATTGTGTGTGTATGTGAGAGAGAACTGCACATCCAGTAATAGGACAATTTGTTAGAGTTAGTTTTTTCCTTCCCTTGTGTGATGTGTTCTGGGGATGGAACTCAGGTAGTCTGGCTTGCTGACAACTGTGTTTACCCACTGAGCCATCTCACCAGCCCCCTAAATGTTCTTTTATAAAAACACTATTTAATAAAAGTAAACAATTAGAAATAAAGGATTCCTGAAATCCAGTTTTGTCAAAAAGATGTTAGAAAGGCATTCATGGTGGCAGGCCTGGTGGCTCATACCTTTAATCCCAGTACTCGGGAGTCAGTCAAGCAGATCTCTGTGAGATCTAGGCCAGCCTGGTCTACATGGTGAATTCCAGGCCTGCTGGGGCTACAAGGAGACTCTGTCTCAAAAAGACCAAAAAAAAAAAAAAAAGTATTCATGGAATAATAAAGTGGCCCTTTTAAAAGAACAATTTGGTAATTGCTATCAAATTTATAAGGTTGCTTGGCATTTGAATTGCAAACTCTTGATTAAAGTTCCCCTTAGAAGACAGTTTGACTTCAATCCAACAGGCAAAGACAGAGGCAGGAGGGTAGAAAGGAGTGTAGCCCTCTTAGCTGACTCCTAGATACCCTGATCAACACAAAAAAATCTTTCTGGTTGCTGAGCAGCTCTTCCCCACAAAACTCAGAGGCGACAGGGCCTCTTCCTGAAGTCCGGGAAGGCCATCTCCAAAACAGCTGCAGAACAGGGCAG